AACCGGAGGAACATCGTGTTGCGAGCGTGTTAAGTACGCAGTGTGGTTGAGTGCACTAGATGGAGCTTATATAAAATCGTACTCGCGACACATTAATGACGATAGCAAAAACTTTTCCTCATAGAAATCAGTCATTTTGATAACTTCCCGTAAGGGAATTACAATGATTCAACTGCTCGAATGCAGAGAAGAATTTACACATAGTACTTTTTAAGATTAGCTACATTCCACGATCTAGCCAGTGACCTGCCTTCAGCGTCCTTCAGGGAGTATGCTCCTCCTGCATGTACCTTTTCGACCAAGTACGGTCCTCCCAGTTGGGTTCTAACTTTCCCACATGCTTGAGCACATCTACTCTCTTCCATACCAGGTCTCCTACTTGGAATCGGCGGATCTTCACTTTTCGATCATGTGCTGCCCTCATCCGTTGTTTGTATGCCTCAACTCTGGTCGAAGCTTGCTCTCTGAGTTCTTCGATAGTGTCTAGAGCGGTCATCATGAGTTCCTCATTCTGCTTTTGATCATAAGTGCTCGATCGTTGGGACTGCAGCTCTAATTCAACTGGTAGAAGTGCCTCCATCCCATATACCAGGCTAAAGGGCGTTTCGCCAGTGGTCGATCTAAGAGTGGTCCTATACGCCCAGAGCACAGATGTTAGCTCGTCAACCCAGGCTCCTGAAGCTTTTTCCAATCTCGTTTTTAGTCCGTTCAGAATGATCCTGTTGGTCACCTCTACCTGTCCGTTGGCCTGGGGATGGGCGACAGAGGCGAAGTGTTGCTCGATACCCATTTCCTCGCACCATGCTCTTACTCGTTTTCCATTGAATTGAGTTCCATTATCCGATATCAGGACTTTAGGGACCCCGAATCGGCAGCAGATATTATTGTACAAGAACTGGATCACTTTCTCTTCCGTAATTTTGGCCAACGGTTCAGCTTCCACCCATTTAGTAAAGTAGTCGACCGCCACAATCAAGAATTTCCGCTGCCCTGTTGCCTGTGGCATTGGCCCCACTAGATCAATGCCCCATTGCGCGAACGGGATGGGTGCACTCATTGTAGTCATCATCTCTGTTGGTTGGTGTATGAGCGGACCATGCTTCTGGCACTGCATGCATCTCCTGGCCATTTCTTTAGCATCCGCCTTCATCGTCGGCCAGAAGTAGCCTGCTCTTAAGATTTTCGCGACCATGGCCCCGGCTTTGCTATGATCACCACAGCATCCCTCGTGCACTTCTCGCAAAACATATCGACCCTCCTCTTTGGATGCACATCTTAAATGTGGACCTGCGTATGATCGTTTATAGAGAACCCCTCCTTGCTCAAAAAACCTCCTCACCACCCTCATGGTCCCTTCCTGTAACTCTTTCTGGATTGGGGCCCTCCAATCTTCTATCTCCTCGATCTCTGCCACCTCGACTTCGGTCGCGCTCCTTTCCATGTGAAGTAGGGTCACACTCCTGCTCTTACAATCGACCGATTTTGGACAGCAAATCAGCCCGACCATTCTCCCCTCGAGGTATTTGTATTAACTCGAATGTCCCAAATTCTTCCTTCAGCTTCTTTATGTTGTCCACATGCCTCTGCAGTCGATCTTCCTTGATATCGAAACCTTCTTGGAATTGACCGACCACCAACTGAGAGTCGGAATGAACCTGAATCTTTCGAGCACCTCCAGCCAGAGCCAATTGTAATCCCTTTGTCACCGCTTCATATTCTGCCTCGTTGTTTGATACTCGAAATCCCATCTTGACGGCGAATTCCAAATAGTCTCCTTTGGGTGAAATCAAGACTATTCCCAAGCCAGCCCCGTTCCTCGATACCGAACCGTCCGCGAACAACTGCCACATTCCTCCGCCATCTCCCTCCTCCTTCGTACCTTCCTGTATGAAATCGGCCAACACCTGCGCTTTGATTGCCCTTCTTGGTTCGTATGTTATAGAGTACTCACTCAACTCGACCGCCCACTTTACTAGCCGGCCAGACACTGCTGGTCGACCTAAAGTCTGCTCCAACGGCATGTTTGTGCGCACCTTGACTTTGTGGTTCAAGAAGTATGGCCTCAGCTTCCGGACTGTCACGACCACCGCCAATGCAAACTTCTCAATTTCCGAGTACCTCAACTCTGCTCCTTGCATTACTCGACTGACGTAATATATTGGGAATTGCGCCACTCCTTCTTCTCGGACCAACACTGAGCTTACAGCACTCTCGCCCACCGATATGTAGAGCACAAGCTCCTCTCCATGGACTGGCTTGGCCAACAAAGGCAAATTAGCCAGCGTCCTCTGCAGCTCCTCGAAGGCCTTTTGGGCTTCCTCTGTCCACTGAAACTTCGAGCTCTTCTTCAGGGTTTTGAACAGAGGGCTGCTTTTTTCGGCCACCTTAAAAATGAATCGGCTCAATCCTGCTATTCGTCCAGTTAATATTTGGACTTCCTTCACACTGGTTGGTGGCTTCATTTCGACCACGGCTCTTACTTTCTCGGGATTCACCTCTATTCCCCGCTTTGTTACCATGTATCCCAAGAACTTCCCTGCCTTCACGCCAAACGAGCACTTAGTCGGGTTAAGCTTCATGCCGTATCTCCTCAGTGTTTGGAAAGTCTCCCTTAAGTCGCCCACGTGGTCTGCCTCCATCTTACTCTTCACCAGCATGTCATCCACGTACACCTCCATATTCCTCCCCAGTTGATCCTTGAAAATTTGGTCGACCAGTCGCTGATAGGTGGCTCCCGCATTCTTTAGCCCAAACGGCATGACTACATAGCAATAGGTGCCTTTGCTGGTTATGAAGCTCACTCTTTTCCAATCTTCTTTCGCTAGGGGAATCTGATGATACCCCTGTGAGGCGTCCATCAAGCTTAGCAATTTGCATCCCGCTGTGGAGTCTACCAGCTGGTCGATCCTTGGTAGCGGGTATAGATCTTTTGGGCAAGCCTTATTCAGGTCACGGAAATCAATGCACATTCTCCATTTTCCTCCCGCTTTGGACACCATTACAGTGTTAGATAACCACTCGGGGAATTGAATCTTCTGGATGTGCCCAGCGTTCATCAACTTGTCGACCTCCTGCTCGATGATTTTGTCCATTTCTGCTCCATGATGCCTTCTCTTTTGCTTCACTGGTCTCACACTGAGATCAATATTAAGTCTGTGCTCGATCACCCTGGCCTCGATCCCCGTTAATTCATCCGTTGTATACGCGAAGACATCCGTGAATTCCCTTATCAAATTGATCAACTTCGACCTGATTGGCTCACCCAAATCTTTCCCAATTCTGAATTTTCAGTCATCGCATCCCTGCACCATTTGGATTTCCTCAATCTCCTCTCCGGGCTGTATGTCTATCTTCTCCTTCCCCTTGCCTTGTCCTCCTCTCTCCTCTTTCATTCGCGACCCTCCCGGTCGATCAGGCCTCACTTCCTTACCTTTCGACTGCCTTTCCGCCATATGTTTGTTGTTACTGACTATGGTCTGATAGCAACTCCTCGATGTGAGCTGGTCCCCTGCAATCTCGCCCACCTTTTCCCCCACAGGATATTTGATCGTCGTGTGGTAAGTAGACACGACCGCCTGGAACGCATTCAGACCCGTTCGCCCCAAAATGATATTATAAGACGATTCTGCTCCAACCACCACAAACCTGATCATTCTCACTTTCCTCGAGTCGCCCGTCCCCAATGCTACGGTCAGGCTCACTTCGCCCATGGGCATTACCTCTCCACCGTTGAATCCATATAAAGCTGTCGCGACTGGTTTCAACTCCAGATTCAGGTGTTTGTTGATTTGGGCGAAACAATCGTAAAACATTACATCGACCGAGCTCCCGGTGTCGATGAATATTCTTTTCACATCAAAACCTGCCACTTCGGCTGTGATGACCAGCGCGTCGTTATGAGGTAACAAGATTCCTTCCGCATCCTCTGCTCGAAAGCTTATCACCGGCATCCGACCAGTTATCCCAACTTCCTCCCTTTTACGCTTCACCGCCCGTACATGCCCTTTTCGCGCATTATTCGAATCCCCATCTGTTGGTCCTTCTGAGATCATGTAAATCGTGCCCCTCTTCACAGGCGCCTCTTCCCTCAGGTTTTCCCGACCATCGTTTGGTCGTTTCTTTCTTTCTCTCCTGGTATCATCTTCCTCATCATCGTCCCTATCACTCCTCGCCACAGAATTTTCCCTGCACCTTCTTCTTTCTTTGCCCCGCGGTCGGTCACGAATGACAAATTCCTTCAAGTGCCCCGCCCGTATGAGACGTTCAATCTCGTCTTTCAAGTGCCTACAATCTTCTGTATTATGACCGTAATCCCTATGAAATCGACAATATTTATTCGACCTAGGTTTGGTCGGTCCTTCAAACCTGGTCGCTGGCCAGGTGACTTCTTTGCTTTCCAACTTCTCCTCTATGGCCGCCAAGACTTCGCCCATCTGGGCGTTGATGGGAGTAAAATGATTATACCTCTGACCATTTGGTAGCCTAGGTCGCCCCTGCCAGCGATCCTCTCGCCTTTCTCGGAACGAATTTTGCCCATCCCTCCTGGCGACGGCCTCTTAAAAGATCCTCCCCTTGGGGAGTTTTTCCTAGGTGATCCCCTCCTGGGCGAGCTCATCTTTCCCTTCCTCTGCTCCGGCTTCATAACGTCCTCGAGCTTGGCAAATTCTGCTTCTGTTTCTTCTAGGTTAATGTACTTCTTGCATCTCTTGAGCACCTCATCATAAGTCCGAGCAGGTGTTTTGGCCAGCGACGTTCGACATGGTCCTGGTCGTAGACTTCTAATTAGTCCTCCTGCTTTTACCTCGTCACCGGCCGTGGGCACCTCCAGACACACCTGGTTATATCGAGCAACGTACTTCCGTAAGGATTCTTTCTCGCCCTGTCTCATTGCCATCAATGTAAGGTATGTTTTCTCCTGGGCGACCGCACTTGAGTATTGGTTAGTAAGTTGTCCTGCGAAATCCTCAAAGTCTCTGATCGATCCTGGAGCCAATTGGTGGAACCAGTCAAGCGCACCTCCCTGCAAGGTCGACAGGAAGGCCCTGCAGCTAACCGGGTCTGAGTATCCATGTAAGACGGACATGTTTTCAAATGCTCTGACGTGCCTCGACGGGTCGCTCGACCCATCAAAGACCAGGTTTATCTCCCGGAAACTTGCCGGTAACGGCGCAGCCAAAATCTCCCTTGAAAATGGGTGTCCTCGGGCACGTCTCTCTGGCCTCCCTTCCACCTTCTCCTGCAACTGCCTCAGCTGCTCGGCCATCCTCTCCATAGTCCTATCTTGGTACTCTCCTCCTCCGCCATAACTCGACACGTCCTCCTCTTGTGTTCCCTGCACCGTTGTCGGCGCAGTGGCGGCCTGTGATGTCTGGTGAGTAGCTTGTTGCACAGCTTGTGCCGCCGCGTCGGCCACCATCCTCTGCACTTCTTCTCTCGTCATGGCCACCACTTGCTGAGCAGGGGGTTGTGGTGCTCCTCCTGTTGAAGGCATCATGGTTTGCACTATCGGCCCTGTTTGCTGCGTCATAACCGGGCCTGCTTGCAACGGAGCGGGGACTGCCGCGGGTACTTCCTTACGAGCTTCGTGCTCTCTGCTCGTGTCTGTTCCTCCTCCCAAGATCGCTGGGCCCTGGGGCATCGGCGTCGGGGTCACCGGTGTTTGCGAGGGTCCAGAGAATCCAGGTGGAGGTCCTGCTCCCATCGGTCTTGTCGTCGTCCACGCCTCGTCAAATGAAGACTGCAAATTCACTCGAGGAACTCCGTCCGCCATAGCTGAGCTCAGAACACAACTTTTCGAACAAGAGTCCCACAGACGGCGCCAATAATACAAGTCTCGCACCCGGACCGGCTGGAAATTGTCCTAAGCTTGCCTTCCTCGCCGGTTGAACGCGGAACCTGCACGAAACTCCCACACCGGAAGTGTTTTCCGGTGAAGAGCCTCCAACGCTCAAGTCAGATCTTGAGAGATGATATCAGTGTATATGAGGATATATGAGTATATGAGATTGTGTCGAAAATGAGGATTCTCGCCCTTATTTATAAGGGCGGGTTACCTGAGCTGCACGCGCGAGCAAGGCGAGTTCGGCCAGCTGTCCTCTGCTCGTCTGTACAACCGCGCGCCTCCACTATCTTCGGTGTCAGAAACGCGTCACCTTTGTCAGAGAATATCAGAGTTTGTTACGGCCGTTGACCAATCATAGCCCGCCACGTGTCCTTTCCTTTACGTGTTGGGGATTCCCGGGTGTGCTCTGGTATTCTATCAGTTTTGCGCGTCCGTGCTTCCTCGATCGTCTTTCCTCGACCATATCCTCGGATGGCTTGTATCTGTCGACCACTTATGATTCCCTTAACTGTCGCTATCTACTCGATGTTCTACGTGGTCGGTGTCCGGTCCTGCTCGACCACCGGTCCAGTATATAATATCCCATATCAGAAGAAGAGGAAGAGGCTTCTGAATAAGAGTTTGAGGATAGTACCGAAGAAGGTTCGAGTGAGGAATCTAAAGAAGAAGAGTCTGCATAGATCTCTCGGCTGGACATTCATATGTGTTTTGTTAAAAAACTATTTGATCTGTGTGTTGTCATTTGAACTCTTTCCTTTATGTTCTTTTTTCTTCTTGTGATGAACATTTCCCTTTCATTATCCTATGAACTATTTCTCTCTTATTCAGGTATTTGAGTTGTTCTCATGAACAACACTTATATGATGTGATAAGTTCTCTTGGGAAAATATCTGTAGTGCGGGATATGCATTTAATTCATGCAGGTTCAAGGGAATGGTTTTTGATTTATCTGGCACAGAGGGAGATTGTAAGTTTTGAAGATTGGGAGTAAATCAATGAACCTTCTCGCATTCACAGGATTCTAAAATTTGCAAAAATATTTATGGGAAGTTGTTTGATTGGAAATTCTTTTATTATTAATTATCATTGAATATTTATAAGTGTTTAATTTTGGCAGGTCAGTAGGAATAAAATTGGGATTCACCTTCTTTAATTGCAAGTGAGAGATTGCGGTCCAAAATATCAAGATCTTCCTTGTGTATGTTTAACTTGGACGAAAAGATAAGGAGAAGACTTTCCAAATAAAGCTCGAAGATAAAAGGAGGTCGAGACTGATGTTGAGAACGACTTTTTTGCTCCTTGTTTTTTGATTAATTTCATTGTGTTTTATTTTGGGGAAGTGTGAAATTCTGTAGAAGTCATTTTTCTGTGACTATTAACAACAGAGTGTTCGGAGGTTAATTCTATATAGTTTGAGGGATTCGAACTAGAAAACCCACAAGGGAGTTGTGGTCAGATAAGTAGTTCTGTGGATCACTGTTCAAGTAGAGTGTAGAGGGAGTCTATACCATAAACCCTTGGATGGTGTTTGAGATATTCACATTAATGAAAGATATCTGAAGGGAGAATGGGACGCTCACCTGAAGGTTCAATTTTTAGTGAATCAGCTTCCGCAATTGTTTGAATCTTCTTTACTATCTGTTTGTTTTGTTTACGTGCAACTCTGGATACTTGGGGTACGAGTATCAACCTTCATCAACCATGGCGGATGAAATTTCCTCGTATGAATCTGCAAGCGTCATTCGATGATGCTTGGACGACGACCAGGCCGATGAGAGTAGGACCACCACCAGTTTTTCTAGACTGTTGCAGTCACCGGTGTCCCCAACACCTACGGCCCAAGGTGCAGGTGTCATCTCAGCAATTCTAGTCACGGGAGAAGGCACGAGAAGATATCAAGAGTCTCGGGGAGTACAACCGATGGCGGGTCCCGCGCCGTTGCAAGCATATCCTGTCACGACTCAGCAAGGAAGTCCGATAGTACAGGCGGTGGCGCCGCCTACTGGAAGACAACTGGGAGGAGTGACTGCAGCTCCGGCCCAACAGATGGTGACGATGACGAGGGAGGAGATGCAGAGAATGATGGCCAATGCAGCTACGCAGGTGGTGCAGCGGGTCACTCACCAAACATCCCAGGCTACCACTGCGCCGACAACGGTGGTCGAAACTCAGGATGAGGATGTGTCGAGCTATGGTGGAGGAGGAGATCTCAAGGATAGGGTGATGGAGAGGATGGCCGAGAAACTCCGCCAGTTGCAGGAGAGGGTGGACGAAAGGCAGGATAGGCGTGCTCGAGGCCATTCGTTCTCGAGGGAAATTCTCACTGTGCCATTGCCCGTAAGTTTCAGGGAGATAAATCTTACCTTTGACGGGTCGAGCGAACCATCATGGCATGTCAGAGCATTTGAGAACATGTCTGTTTTACATGGATACTCGGATCCGGTTAGCTGCAGGGTGTTCTTATCGACTCTACGAGGAGGGGTGCTCGATTGGTTTCACCAACTTGCCCCGGGATCGATTAAGGACTTTGAGGATTTTGCCGGTTAACTTACCAACCAATAATCTAGCGCGGTGGCTCAGGAGAAGACGTATCTCACACTGATGGCGATGCAACAAGGGGAAAAGGATTCTCTGCGAAAATACGTTGCTCGATATAACCAGATGTGTTTGGAGGTGCCAACGACAGTCGATGAGGTGAAGGCAGGAGGCTTGATCCAGAGTTTGCGACCAGGGCCTTATCGAACGTCATTAGAAAAAAATGCCCGCCACGACTTATGATGATGTGCTGAAGAGGTGTAGGAAATATATCAACCTGGAGGAGACGGAGGCAGAATTCGCTAAGCTCGAGGAGGTGGCGAAGCTCGAGTCAAAGAGAGGAAGGGAGAACTCACCCAGGAGAGATTTTCCCAGGAGGAGTTCTCCCCAGAGAGGTCCACCCAAGAGATCGTCGCCCAAGAAGGATAGGAGAGGTCTGTTTCGCGATGGACGACCTCTCTTAGCAAATGGCCAGAGATATAACAACTTCACACCCATAAATACAAAGCTGGGAGAGGTTCTTGTGGCAATAGAGGAAAATCTAGAGGACAAGGAGGTCACTTGGCCAAGAACAAGGTTCGAAGGCCAACTCAACCCCGATCGAGCAGATATTGTCGATTCCATAGAGATTATGGGCATACCACGGAGGATTTCAGGAACCTGAAAGATGAAATCGAGCGCCTTATCCGGGCAGGGCACTTGAAGGAGTTTGTTATTCGTGATCGGGCAAGAGGAAAGGAGAGGAGGAAATGCAGGAAAGATTCAGTGGTGAGAAGTGATAGAGAAGATGAGGGGGAGGATTATGCTCAAGGAGAGAAGGGTGGTCGATTGGGCGAAGCGGAGAAGAGGAGGCGAGGTGATGGCGGTCGAGAGGAGCAGAGAGGAGAGATACCCGTGAAAAGAGGAATGATTTACATGATTTTTAGAGGACCAATAGATGGTGATTCCAACAACGCAAGAAAGGAGCATATACGGGCTATTAAGCGTAAGAGGAAGGAGGTCGGGATAACTGGTCGAATGCTGGTGATTAGCTTTGGAGCGGAGGATGTTGGGGGGATTTCATTACCCCACAATGACGCGCTGGTGATCACGGCGGAGGTTGCGGGGTTTGATGTGAAGAGAGTGTTCATCGATACGGGGAGTTCGGTCGATGTGATATTCTATGATTGTTTCACACAGATCAACAAACATTTGAACTTGGAATTGAAGCCGGTGGCGACGACCTTGTATGGTTTTAATGGAGGCGAAGTGATGCCGATGGGAGAGGTGAGTTTAACAGTGGCGTTGGGATCAGGTGATACGAGGAAGGTGCGGATAGTGAGATTTGTGGTGGTGGGAGCAGAATCCTCGTATTATATTATCCTGGGGAGGACTGGCCTGAACGCGTTTCAAGCGATCATGTCAACGTACCACATGACGATCAAATATCCGGTGGGCGAAAACATGGACGAGATCGCGGGAGACCAACTTACCTCAAGGAGCTACTATCAGACCACTGTAAGAAATAACATGCAGCTGGCGAGGAAACAAATGAAGGGCAGTGAGGAAGTACCAGATCGACCAGGTGGGTCGAGGACCAAGGAGGATAAGGGTAGGCAAGATAAGGGCAAGGCGAAGATGGACATGCAGCCTGGAGGGGAGATTGAGGAGGTCTAGATGGTGCGAGGATATGATGACCGAAAATTCAGAATTGGGAAAAAGTTGGAGGAGTCGATCCGGATGAGGCTGGTTGAGTTAATACGAGAATTTGCTGATATCTTTTCCTACACCGTGGAGGAATTGACGGGGATTGACGCGAAAGTGATCGAGAATAGATTGAATATCGACCTCAGTGTGAGGCCGGTAAAACAGAAGAGGAGACACCATGGGGCGGAGATGGACAGGATAATCGAGCAAGAGGTTGAGAAGTTGATGAAAGCGGGCCACATTAAGGAGATTCAATTCCCAGAATGGCTGTCGAACACAGTAATGGTATTGAAATCAGAAGAAAAATAGAGGATGTGCATTGATTTCAAAGATATAAACAAAGCATGCCCAAAAGATCTATATCCATTGCCGAGGATCGACCAGCTTGTAGATTCCACGGCAGGATGCGAATTGCTCAGCTTGATGGATGCATCCCAGGGCTACCACTAAATCCCCTTAGCTCGAGAATATAGGAAGAGGGTGAGTTTCATAACGAGCAAAGGGACATATTGCTATGTGGTGATGCCATTCGACCTAAATAATCCAGGAGAAACATATCAAAGGTTGGTCGATAAAATTTTCAAAGAGCAGCTTGGGAGGAACATGGAGGTGTATGTTGACGACATACTCGTGAAAAGCAAGGTGGAGGCAGACCATGTGGCAGACTTGAGGGAGACGTTCCAAACGTTAAGGAAATATGGCATGAAGCTTAACACCGCTAAATGTTCTTTTGGTGTGAAAGCGGGAAAGTTCTTGGGGTATATGGTGACAAGGAGAGGGATCGAGGTGAATCCGGAGAAAGTCTGTGTCGTGGTCAAAATGAAACCACCATCAAACGTGAAAGAGGTGCAAATATTAACAGGTCGAATAGCTGGATTGAGTAGATTAATTTCCAAAGTGGCAGAGAAAAGTGGTCAATTATTCAAAACGTTGAAGAAAAGCTCGAAATTCCAATGGACAGCCGAGGCTCATAATGCTTTGGAGGAGCTGCAGGGGGTGCTCGTTAATTTTCCTTTGTTAGCTAAGCCGGTGCAAGGAGAGGAGCTGGTGCTCTACATATCCATTGGAGATATGCGGTGAGTTCAATGTTGTTGCTCGAGGAGGGGGTAGCACAATTGCCAATATATTATGTTAATTAGGTGATGCAGGGGGCGGAATTTAGACATTCAGAGATTGAAAAGTTTGCTTTGGCAGTGGTCGTGACGGTCAGGAAGTTGAGGCCTTATTTCCTTAATCACAAGGTGAAGGTACGGACGAACATGCCTATGGAGAAAACATTGGGTCGACCCTCAGTCTCGGGTCGACTAATGAAGTGGGCGGTTGAGCTGCGTGAGTATTCGATCATGTATGATTCAAGGAGGGCGATTAAGGCACATGTTTTGGCGGATTTTAATCAGAAAGGAACTAAGTTCGAGGAGGAGTCAGAAGGGGTGTGGCAACTATTTGTAGACGGGTCTGTGTCGAAAAATTGGGCTGGTCTAGGCATTGTTATTGTCTCGCCCAAAGGAGATTATATGGAGTTTGCTGTAAAAAAGGGATTCTGATTGTCGAACAGTGAGGCAGAGTATGAGGTGGTGGTTAAAGGTTTGCAGTTGGCTATAGCTGGGGGTGCTCGAAAGATACAAGTCCATTCAGATTCCCAGTTGGTGGTAGGGCAATTCCAGGAGGGTTTCAAGCTGAAGGAGGAGAGGTTGCAGCGTTGTATGGATGAGATGAAGAAGTTGTAGGAGGAGTTTCAATCTTTTGAGCTGGTGCAAATACCACGAGGAGAAAATGGTCGAGCAGACTTATTGTCAAAAATCGCCCAGAGTTTGGTAGATTGCAAATGCCGGAGCGTAACCCTGCTTCATATGGAAAAAAGTGTGGTCGAGGCAGAGGTAGCAGAGATCGAGGAAGTGGAAGACTGACGATCCTCAATCTTGAGAGAGTTGCAAGAAGGAGTGGTGAAAGTGTTGAGGAGATTCTTTAAGCATGGAGGGATTCTTTATAAGCGATCATATGCTGGGCCACACTTGAGGTATGTGACTAAGGAAGAGGGTCGGTATGTCCTGAAGGAGGTGCACGAAGGATGTTGTAGCGACCACAGTAGGCGGGAGCGATGGTCGCTAAGATATTGAGGGAGGGATATTTTTGGCCGACAATGAAAGTTTATGCTAAGGAGATGGCAAAGAAATGTTTACAATGTCAGAAACATGGCCCACTTATCCACCAGCCTGCAGAGATGATGACCACGATGAGAGCCCCAATCCCGTTCGCGGAGTGGGGAATCGATCTTGTAGGAACAATGCCGCAGGCAACTGGGCAGCGAAAATTCTTGATCGTGGCGGTCGATTATTTCACGAAATGGGTGGAGGCCGAGCCTTTGGACAAAATTACAGAGGAGAAAGTAATCCAGTTCTTGTACAACAATATTTGTTGCAGGTTTGGGGTCCCGAAGGTCCTAATATCAGATAATGGAACGCAATTCAATAGCAAGCAGATCAGGTCTTGGTGTGAAGATATGAGGGTCGAGCAGCACTTTGCCTCTGTGGCCCACCCGCAAGCCATTGGGCAGGTGGAGGTAACCAACAGGATAATTTTGAACGGGTTGAAGATGAGACTGGATAAAGCCTCGGGGCGTGGGTCGATGAGTTGCATCAGTACTTTGGGCATACAGGACCACCCCGAGGTCGACCACGGGGTAAACGCCGTTTAGCCTAGTCTATGGAATGGAGGCACTCCTGCCAGTCGAAGTGGAGCTACAATCCCAACGGTCAAGCACTTATGAACAAGGGCAAAATAAAGAGCTCATGATGGCTGCCCTTGATACAATAGAGGAACTTCGGGAGCAAGCCTCGACCAGAGTCGAGGCATATAAACAAAGAATGAGAGTGGCCCATGATAGGAAAGTGAAGATCTGCAGATTCCAGGTGGGTGACCTGGTCTGGAAAGGGATTGATGTGCTCAAACACGTTGGCAAAAAAGAGTCCAACTGGGAAGGACCATATTCGGTCGAGAAGGTTCATGTTGGAGGAGCCTACTCCTTGAAGGATGCCGAGGGAAGATCATTGGTCAGGTCATGGAATGTTGCCAATCTCAAGAAATATTAGGTTTAAATTTTTCTTTTCTGGTCGAAAAATTAAATTGATGTAATGCGGGATCACAACTTTTCTAAGGATTATCAAAATGGCTCATTTATGTTTCAATTGTGTTCTTATATGATCTTAATGGATTCCTTTCATGGCTGGTGTAACTTTCTTTTATGGTTCATTTAAAAAGTACGATGTGGTTTATTCGGGATATGGCGTTTGCTTAGGAATGTTAACATGACTTCGTCGATTCCTTGTATGGTTTCATGGGTCTTACTCCTATAGTATGAACAAATCTCTTATAAGGTATTTTTGGAATTTCTTGTACGATACACAAGAAAGCATGGATATAGTCTTGGTATAATACTGCTCGGAGAAGAAGGAAAAAGTCCCTCATTTGGAACATCCTGCTCAAGGGGTGGGCGAGCGGTCTCTTTTTTGGAACATTCCTTGGGGTGGCCAGGTGATCGAAAAAGTCTACGCCTCCGGGCTGAACGACCACCATGTTTGGAATATACATTGGGGTGGGCAAGTGTCAAGACCAAAGTCCCTCGTCTGGAACATCCCGCTCAAGGGGTGGGCGAGCGGTCGCTTGTTTGGAACATTTCTTGGGGTGGGCAGGTGGTCGAAAAAGTCTACGCCTCCGAGCTGGACGACCACCATGTTTGGAACATCCTTTGGGGTGGGCAAGTGTCAAAACCAAAGTCCCTCATTTGGAACATCCCGCTCAAGGGGTGGGCGAGCGGTCGCTTGTTTGGAACATTCTTTGGGGTGGGCAGGTGGTCGAAAAAGTCTACGCCTCTGGGCTGGACGACCACCATGTTTGGAACATTCCTTGGGGTGGGCAAGTGTCAAGACCAAAGTCCCTCGTTTGGAACATCACGCTCAAGGGGTGGGCGAGCGGTTGCTTGTTTGGAACATTCCTTGGGGTGGGCAGGTGGTCGAAAAAGTCTACCCTCTGGGTTGGACGACCACCATGTTTGGAACATCCCTTGGGGTGGGCAAGTGTCAAGACCAAAGTCCCTCGTTTGTAACATCCCGCTCAAGGGGTGGGCGAGCGGTCGCTTGTTTGGAACATTCCTTAGTGTGGACAGGTGGTCGAAAAAGTCTACCCTCCAGGTTGGACGACCACCATGTTTGGAACATCCCTTGGGGTGGGCAAGTTTCAAGACCAAAGTCCATCGTTTGGAACATCTCGCTCAAGGGGTTGGCGAGCAGTCGCTTGTTTGGAACATTCCTTGGGGTGGGCAAGTGGTCGAAAAAGTCTACGCCTCCGGCTGAACGACCACCATGTTTGGAGCATCCCTTGGGGTGGGCAAGTTTCAAGACCAAAGTCCCTCGTTTGGAACATCCCGCTCAAGGAGTGGGCGATCGGTCGCTTGTTTGGAACATTTCTTTGGGTGGGCAGGTGGTTGAAAAAGTCTACGCCTCCGAGCTGGACGACCACCATGTTTGGAACATCCATTGGGATGGGCAAGTATCAAGACTAGAGTCGCTCATTTGGAACATCCCGCTCAAGGGGTGGGCGAGCGGTCGCTTGTTTGGAACATTCCTTGGGGTGGAAAGGTGGTCGAAAAAATCTACGCCTCTGAGCTGGACGACCATCATGTTTGGAACATCCCTATGGGTGGACAAGTGTGAAGTCC